ATGTATCCTGCAAAACTCTCCTTTAAAATGGATGGGGAAATAAGATACTTCCATGACAAAGAACACTTGAGAAACTTCATGAATACCAAACCAGCACTACAAACAATTCTAAAAAATATCCTAGAAAAAGGCAATGAAGGTCACAATACCATGAGGCCCAAGAGAGAAAAACAATTAGTCAAGGAAAGAAACTAAAGGGAGAGGGGGAAAAATTAAAAAGAGCCAACAAAAGGACAGTAACATGACAATGATAAGTCAATATATATCAGTTATAACCATCAATGTCAATGACCGAGATACACCAATCAAAAGAAATAGACTGACAGAATGGATTAAGAAGCAAAATCTAACAATATGTTGTAGACAAGAAATACACCTAGTATAAAAAGAAACCCATAGACTGAAAGTGAAAGGATGGAAAACAATTCTCCATGCAACAGGAGCCCAGAAAAAAGCAGGCATAGCTATCTTTTTCACAGACAAAGTAAATTTTAAACAACAACAACAATGACAACAACAACAACAAAACTGATTAAAAGAGACAAAGTAGGCCACTACATCCTTGGAAAGGGAACAATCTGAGAGGAAGAGATGACAGTCACAAATATAAATGAACCAAATACTAATACCCCAAACTATATAAAACAAATATTAAGGGGCATGAAAAACCAAATAAGCACTGATACAATTGTAGTGGAGGACCTAAATACCCCACCATCACAAATACACAGATCATCTAGACAAAAAATTAACAACTAAATAGAAGAACTGAACTAAGCTTTTGAACAAATGGACTTAATAGATGTTTACAGAGTGTTCCACCCCACAAAATCAGAATATACATTCTTTTTGGTTGCACGTGGGTCATTCTCCAAGATAGACCACATACTAGCTCATAGAACAAATTTGAGTAAATGCAAAAGAATCAAAGTTATCCCATATATATTACCAGACCATAGGGCAATTAAGCTGGAGATCAATAGCATAAGAAAAGGTAAGAACTTCACAAACACATGGAAATTGAACAACTCTGTCTTGAGCAATCAATGGGTCACAGAGGAAATTAAAGAAGAAATCAGTAAGTTTTTACAAATAAAGGATAATGCCAATACAGCATACAGGAATCTATGGGACACAATGAAAGCTATTCTGCATGGAAAATTCATAGTAGTGAATGTCCACAGTAGGAAAACAGAGTGAGCTCAAATAAACCAAATGCTGAATCTTAAGCTCCTAGAAAAGGAAGAGCAAAATAAACCCAAAGCTTGTACAAGGGAGGAAATTATAAAGATCAGAGCAGAAATCAATGCAATAGAAACTAAGAGAATGATATAAAAAAAAATCAATGAATTGTAGTTGGTTTTTCGAAAGAATAAATAGTGCTGATAAACCCTTAGCCACCTTGTCAAAAAAAGGAAAGGCTCAGATCCATGTAATTAGGAATGAAAAAGGTGAGGTCACAACAGATCCAGCAGAAATCCAGAGGATCATCAATATCTACTTCGAGAAAATGTATTCTAGTAAAATGGAAAACAAGGAAGAAATGGATAGGATAGATTTCTTGATACTTATGAATTACCAAACTTGAATGAAGAAGATAAAAAAAATTCTAACCACCCCAGTTACAATCAGTGAAATTGAAAACATCATTAAAAGTTTACCACCACCACCAACAAAAATCCCAGGTCCTGATGGTTTCACTGATGAATTTTATAAGACATTTAGAGAAGAACTACTGCCACTACTCTTTAAACTTTTCAATGAAATTGAAAGGGAAGCAAAACTTCCAAATTCATTCCTGGAAACAAGTGTTACTTTGACTCCAAAACCAGGGAAAGACCCAGCCAAAAGAGAGAACTACAGGCCAGACTCCTTAATGATGCAAAAATCTTCAATAAGATACTGGCAAACAGATTACAGAGGGTCATCTAGAAGATCATACGCCCTGACCAAGTTGGATTTATCCCAGGGATGCAAGGATGGTTCAACATACATAAATCAATAAATGCAATATGCTATAATAACAGTAAAAGAAAAAAAAACATAGGATCATCTCAATAGATGCAGGAAAAAATTTGACAAAATCTAACACTCATTCATGATATAAGCCCTGCAGAACATTGGAATAGATGGTCTTTATCTCAATTTGATAAAAGCTATCTATGAAAAACCAAGAGCCAACATCATATTAAATGGTCAAAAACTGAAAACCTTCAGGCTAAAATCAGAAACAAGACAAGAATGTCCACTATCACCACTCCTGATCAATAATATAGTTCTGGAAATATTAGCCACAGCAATTAGACATGAGAAATAAATTAAAGGAATATAGATAGGAAAGGAAGAAGTTAAACTGTCATTATTGGCTGATGATATGATACTCTACATAGAAGTCCCAAAAAACTGAAAGACTTCTAGACTTAATCGACACTTTCAGCAGAGTACTCAAAAATCAATAGTCTTCTTGCACACAAATAATAGCCTCAGTGAGAGAGAAATTGGGGAAACAATTCCTTTCACAATAGTATATAAACAAAAGAAATATCTAGGAATCATTCTAATGAAGGAAGCAAAAGACCTCTACACTGAAAACTACAGCACTCTGAAAAAAGAGATTGAAGAGGATATAAAAGAATGGAAAGATAGCCCCTGCTCCTGGGTAGGAAGAGTCAACAGAGCAAAAATGGCCATACTACCAAAACTGCTATACAGAGTCAATGCAATCCTGATTGAAATTCCAAAACTATATTTCACAGAACTAGAGAAAATAATCCAAAAATTCATTTGGAACCAGAAGAGACTTAGAATAGCTAAAGACACTCTAGGCAACAGAGACATGATGGGGGTATCACAATCCCCAAATTGAAACTGTACTACAAAGCCACTGTGATGAAAACAGCATGGTACTAGCAAAAGAAAAAGACCTGAGGATAAGTGGAATAGATTGAAAGACACAGAAATAACTACAGATATACTCAGCTACCTCATGTTTGACAAAGGAGCCAACCATCCTCAGTGGAGGAAAGATAGGCTTTTTAATAAATGGTGTTGGGAAAAATGGATTTCAATCTGCTGAAGATTAAAATGAGACTCTTACTTTTCAGTACGCACGAAACTAAAATCCAAGTAGATTAAAGATCTAAATATTAGGGCCAGGGATTTAGCTCAGTGTTTCTGCCATCTGTCTCACAAGCACAAGGACCCGAGTTCAATCCCAGGTACCAAAAAAAAAAGAGAGAGAGAGAGAATCCTAAATATCTAAATATTAAAACAGAAACTCTAAACTTGCTGGAAGATAAGTTAGGCAGAACTCTTGAAGACATTCACATAAGAAAGGATTTTATGAGCAAATCCTCAGTAGCACGGGAACTAGCACAAAGAATCAACAACTGGGATCTCATCTTATTAAAAAGCTTTTGCACCACAAAAGAAACCACCAACAGAGCTAAGAGACAACCTACAATGTGAGAAAAAATGCTCACCAGCTGCTTCTCAAAGGACTATTATCTAGAATATATAAAGAACTCAAAAAAATCAGGCCCCCCAAATATAAGACCCACTTCAAAAATGAGCATCTGAAACAAACACGCTTTTCTCAGACAAAGAAGGCAAAGCAGCAAATAAATATATGAAAAAATGCTCAGCATCACTGGTCATTGAGAAATGCAGATGAAAACAACACTGAGATTACACCTCACCCCACAAAGAATGGCTGCTATCAAGAAATCAACCAATAACAACTGCTGGCAGGGTTGTGGGGAGAAAGGAACGCTTCTCCATTGTTGTGGGAGTGCAGACTGGTGCAACCACTATGGAAATCAATATGGAAATACCTCAGAGCACTAGGATTAGAGGTTTCATTTGACCCACCTATCCCTCTGCTGGGTATCTTTCCGAAAGAATTGAAAGAATCATACCACAGTGATATATGGTCACCCATGTTTATAGCGGCACAGTTTGTAGTAGCTGAAACTTGGAAACAGCCCAATTGCCCATCAGTTGGAAACTGAATAAAGAAGATGTGGTTTTTCTCTAAAATGGAGTACTACTCAGCCATAAAGAATGAGAAACGAGAGTCATTCATAGGAAAATGGATGCATATTGAGGCCATATTCTGAAGTGAAATAAATAAGACACACATGTGTAAGTACTGAATAGTTTCTCTGGTTTGAAAAACTAAAAGTGTAAATAAGATCCAAATTGTATAACTGATAATGTGAAATAGGAAGAAAAGGGCTAAAGGTATAGGGGAAGTGGGAAGGGTAGGGGAAAGGAAATAAGGGAAAAGAAAAATATGAGAAAAAGAAAAATGGAAACAAAGTCTTTGTAAATAGGGGAGGGTAGAGGGGATGAAGGGAGGGCAGGGTTATGGTGAAAAATTGAGAACCAAGATCTGTCATATTATGGTACAAGATCCCAATGATGAATGTAACTGTATTGTATACTAACAAAGTACCAATAAACTCAATAAAAAGGAAGAAGAAAGAAAAATCATCCCACACATGCTGGACATTTAGCATCTCTGAAGCCAAGTGCTGAAGGCCATTAGTGCTTCTGATCATTGTGACATCTGTAAAAGGAGCCCCCTCCACTCTCAGACCTGTCTCACCTACCCAAAGTAGGTAAGATAGTTCTCTCTGTCCCAGTTGACAGCTTTTGACTTGAGAGATGTTTACGTTTGCTTAAGCATTTTTCTCTGGTTTAGGAAAAGTTTTAGCTAAGGAAACTATTAGTAGCCAGTTACTCATATTTTTACAAAGTTAAATTGCTACAATATAATAAGAAGGCATGAGGCTCTGGTTCTGAGGCCTCTCCTTTGTACATTAAACGCTTTAGGAGCTCACAGGAGCCCTGGACATGCAGTTAGCTAGTTAACTAATGAGTTGAGGAAAGGACTCACCATTCAGGAGGTCCAGGGTGGAGCCCCAGGACCTCCCAACACCCAACACAGTCTCTTGCCCGTGGAAGGGGCACCTGGCATTCTTGTAGACAACACGTACCTCCCTGGAGAAGCCACTCCACAGGATCTTCTCCTCATTGATGAAGAGTCTCTCGCCCTTCTTTGCAGAGACATTATAATTCCCAATTTCCTTAAACACGATGGAGCCGTCCTCTGGGGAGAGATGCCAATTGATGATGGAATAGTTCCCCATCAGGTTACCATTCTCATCAAAAGTTACTTGCTCCCCCATGCTGTTGGTGAAGTTTAAATGCCGAAGGTGCTTCAGGACCTAAACAGGAAGAGGGATGAATGAATACAAGTCCGAGGGCTGCCATATTTGGTTATGTAGGTTGTGCCTTGCAGAAGGGCAGTAAGCCGTCTTTTTCTAACAAAGTGGGGGGAACGAGAGTTGAGGGAGAGAGGCACCTTTTCTAATTTTCACTTGCATGGCTCAGCAGCATCTCTGGTAAACCACAGGCTTTCCTTACCACTCAAATCTAAGTAGGGTAGGAAACCCCTTCTTGAAGGTGGGAAAGAGAAAAGGATATATCTTTTCTCCCAGGATGTGTCTTGGCTCCAGCCAAGTCAGGTGACCCATTACCTAGTGGTGCCCAAGAAGGGCAGGTGTATGGGTCTTCCTGGCACTGGAGCTGGCTGCTGGGGAAGACAAGAAGGGGTGAGGGAGTAGCTCTTTTTATCTGCACCTTCTTTTCCTTCTGTGGAAATGTCTTGCTGCTAAAAATCACAGGATGGAGTGGAAGGGAGAAAGAAGTGAGGTTGTAGGTGGATCATGGGCCAGCACTGTTAATAGAGTCATGGCAAATTCTGAATTTACATCAAGTGTTAAAGTTCACAAAGCCTTTGCACAAAGAAGTAATAATAACAATTATGGACACATACTAGTTATTTAAAACTTGTAAATACTAGTCATTTTTACTACTTTGGAGGCATGATTCTAAGTAATTTATATTTATCTATTAATCTGTTCTTCACAACAAATAGTATGATTATCCACTATTTTATTGATGGGGAAGCTGAGGTACAGAAAATTTAAATATTTTGTTCAGAATCACTGTCTCTGTCTGTCTGTCTTTCTGTCGCTTCTTCCCTCTCTGCTCCCTCCTTTTATTCTGTCTTCTTTTCTTTCTTTCTATGGAAATAAGGATTGAACCCAGGGCCTTTGCACTGAGCTACATCCCCAGCCTTATTTATTTTGAGACAGGGACTTGCTAATTGGCACAGGCTGGGCTCCAGTTTTTGATCCTCTTGCCTGAGCCTCCCAGAGCTTGAGATTACAAGAGTGGGCCACCATGTCTGGTGAGCCTGCACTTTTAATCGCTATGCCTTGTAGCTGCATATTGGGCTCCTGACTGCTTCCTGCTGTGCCCCTGATGTCAGCCTTCTCATGCAGGATCTGCCCAGTGTTACTGAGATGCCACGTGGCAGGAGGACATGATTCATTCGGAGTGTAGGGGCGCTGGCCTGCACTTAGTCTTCACAATGCTTTAACGAGGCACTGTTATTCATTTTGTAGATGGCAGAATTGAGGTATGTAGAGAGCTAAAGACACTTGCAGAAATTACATGGCTAATAAGTGCTGGAGCTGGGATTTAGGCACAGGCCTTTCTGCCACATGGTCCTGTCTTCTTCTGTGGAAGTTGCTCTGTAATCCACGGCAAAGATTTGTAAGACGTCAGTAATATTTTCTCATTACATAAAAAAATAAGCTACATCACTCTTATTTGAAAAATAGTTTTCAATGCATATACGTGATAGTTAATTTTAGGTTAGGTATCAGTTTGGCTGGATTAGGGAATATCTAAAAAGTATTATTTAGTGTATTATTCCGGGTGTGTTTCCAGAGGAGGTTGTCCTGTGATACTGAGTGAACTAGGGACTAGGGAAGACATGCCCTAGGTAGGGTGTCTTAGTTACTTTTCTTGTTGGTGAGATAAAGTAATTGAAACCCACAAGTTAAAGGAAGAAAGGTTTACTTTGGCTCACAGTTTGTAGAGGTTTCAGCCCATAGTTGGCTGGCTCCAAGGCAAGGTGGCATTGCAAAGGGGCATCACAGAGGAGAAACAGTTCATGGTGTGGTAGGCAGAAGGCAGCAAGTAGCAACAAACAGCAGCAAGTAGCAGCAGCAAGCCTCCCTTTCTCTGTTATGCCATCTAGGATACAAGCCTAAGGTGGTGCTACTTTGTTCAGTAAATCCATTTAGCCAAACCCATAACTATGTTAATTCCAATCAGTGGGCTAATTTAATACCATACACTCTTAATCCTAGTGTTACACACCTTGGATCCAGCCAGCTTTCAAAAGCCCCACTTATGAGCACATGAAGCTTTGGAAGGGTATTTAGATACAAGTCATAACAGGGGGATCCAGTTGGCTGGGGGAGCAGAGACACCAATACAGGAAGGAGATAAATTATTATCCCTTCCTGAGAGTAGGGTATATACTTACCTCCTACGTTACACAGCAGCAGTCTAGGTTCTCTGGCCTTTGCCCCCAGAGTTTATGCCAACAGCCTCCTCTTCACTTTCTCAGGCTTTTCACTTCAAGTTGACAGTTACATCTGGGCATAACCTGGCTCTGAGGCCTTCAGACTTAGCCTGAATCAAGCTTCCAGCATCTCAAAGTCTCCAGTCTGTGTATGACCTGTCATAGGACTTCTCAGGTATCATAATCATTTGCATAAGTTAACGCCCCTGATATATTGATAACATATATAGATAACATATTATCTGTCTGTCTATCTATCTATCTATCTATCTATCTATCTATCTATCTGTCTATCTATCTATGGAGAACTCCAATACAATACATAAAGATATACTGGGCATTGTAGTGCAGGCCTGTAATACTAGCACTCTGGAAGGCTGAGGCAGGAGGATGGCAAGTTCAAGCCAGCTTGGTATTTTAGCAACTCAGTAAGATCCTGTCTCAAAAAATAATTAAAAAAGGGCTGTGGATGCAGCTCAATGTGAAGGGCCTGGGTTCAATCCCCAGCACTGGGGGAAAAATGTAAAGCTAGAGTAGTTACCATAAATTTCTTTCCTTCTTTTCAGGTTTCTCGCTTCTTAACATGCTTTCTTCCTTTTCTCCATCCACTAGTCTATGCAATGAAACTTTCTAGGCATCAGGGGTAGATGAAGGAAGGGAAGGTAGAATGACATTAAATCATACTTGGATGGCCATCTTTTTATACCAGCAGATTAGATAGACAAATTAGTCAAAAATTGTCAGTGGCTATAAGCCTTTGCGTTGCTACTAACATGGGCTGAAGATTTCCACCATATTCCTAACTTGAAAGAGAAAAGAATCAATAAAAAATTATTTACTTTTTTTTGTGTTGGGAATTGAACTCAGGGCCTCAGACATACTAGGAAAGGGCTCTACTACTGAGTCACACCCCATCCTTTTCATTTTGAGACAAGATCTTGCGGAGTTGCCCAGACTGTCCTTGAACTTGTGATTCACCTGTCTCAGCCTCCTCAGAAGCCAGGGTAAAAGGTGTGTACCCTCATGCCTGGCTAAAAATTGTTTTCTTAAAGTTTCTATTTGTATACTGTAAGGATTCAGCTCGACCTGACTGCAAGCCATCATAACTGCCATGACTGCCCCTGAGTATCCCTGGATGTTTCCCCCATGTAGTTTGTCAGAGTCCATAGGGAGACAAAAGCCCTATGAGGAGCTACACAGCTCCTCATGGACCCTGGTACTATCAGTGCTGATAATGTGCCTGACGTCCTTGATATTAACTTGAGATAAAGCAGGCACATTCCAGAGTGAATGAAATCACTTTTGTCCTGACAACTGTATAAATCCCCTCCTTCATGTCTAAATTGTGAGGCTTCACTAGTCCTGCTGCCACCCAGACATACACTTCTGCCTGTAACTTCCCCCCCAAACTGCATTCCATGCAATCCTGGTTGTATCTGTATCTTTCCTTGGTCTCACAGCACGTTAAAATCAGTACTGTTACACCGGGACCAGATTTTCTAGAACAGTAAATTGTTGGCATCTAGCAAGAAGCAAGGATTTGTATAATATCCACTGTGTGTTCTGAGCTGTGTTGTAGAAACACAAGAAGTAATCCAGTCCTCCTGGAGTTTACATATGGATTACTGTGATCAAATGTAACACAAAAATATCCAATGAAATAGCAAGAGTCATAAAATAAAATAAAGGGCCAGGTATAGAGAAACTTAGAGAAGATGGAGATTAAAAAGTAATGGAAGGTGGGCTTGCAGCAAGGTGGCAGTTTGGACTGGCAAAGGGTGCAGGGAAGAAAGGGGTTAAAAACTGTGTGGGAACTTCATGGACAAAGGCAAAATATCAGGAATAAAAATGACATGTTTTAGGGGCAGTAAAAGAGGCTGATTTCTTAAAAATTATGTGTGTGGTAGAGATCATGGGGGAGCACAATAGATAAGGCAAAAAGAGACCAGATTCCACATCAAGAAGGTATGTTAGAGAATAACATGTGTTGAGAATGCTGAGAGATAGGAACCTTCCATATATTGCTGGTGGGGATGGAAGATGGTGCAGCCATTTTGGAACAGTACCTTGCAGATCCTCAAAGAGTTAAATATAGAGTTACCACTAAACCTGATAATTCTACTTGTCTGTAAATACTCACGAGAAACGAAAATACATGACCACTTAAAGATTCATACACAAATGTTCATAGTAACATTATTTATAATAATCCACAGTGAAAACAATCCAAATGTCAACAACTTGGATAAATGAAATGTGATCTATTCATACAATGAAATATTATTTGGACATTAAGAGGAAGGACATATCAGTAATGCTACAACACTGTTAAAAATGCAGTGTTATGCAAACTGGAAGGAGTCAGTTACAACAGACCATGCATTTTATCATTTTATTTATATGAAATGTGAATGTCCAAATACATAGGGACAGAGATGTATGATTTAAAGATGGGAGTATAGAGGGCCTAGGGAGTGGTAACTAAAAGTTACAAGGTTTCTGTCTTTTTTTTTGTTTTTTTTTTTGGTACTGGGGATTGAACCAGGACCTTGCACTTGCAAGGCAGGTGCGGTGCCGCTGAGCTAAATCCTCAGCACAAGATTTTCTTCTAATGTGGTGAAAATGTTCTAAAATGGATTTTAGTCATGGTCACTCTGTGACTATGCTAAAAATCACTGACACTTTAAACAAGTGAGTTGTGTGTTATGTGAATTGTATTTCAATAAAGCTATATATGGAATTGTAAGGTATTTAGAAAATCCAAATATGACTTCACTGGTGGAG